TTTTGTGTTTGAACTCTTTTCAAGGTTTTTCAAGTTTCACTCATGTTGTAGCATGTATAAATACTTAACTTCTCTTCCTTTCTTTTTTTCTTTGCCCAGATGTCTTTATTTTTCAAAAAGGTCCTTAACTCTTTCTGAAGTTTCAAATGGGTTAGGAAACACTTTTAGCTATTGCTATTCTTAATTCTATTATTTGGTTTGGAATAAAATTGATTTTTAAAATTTATCAATAACACCTTACTGTTCACTTTCCAGGTGATAATATACAGTTGACCCTTGAACGACACAGGCATGAAGGACCCAGTCGAAAATCCACCTATAACTATAGGCAGCCCTCTGCATGTGTGGTGCCCTCACGCCTCGGTCCCTTAGAGTTGTGGTTCGTTTGTATCTGTGCTTCCGCAGCGGCAGAGTCCACTGTCAGTGGATAATGTAGCACTGCAGGATTTCCTATTGAAAAAAAAATCCATGTACAGGTGGACCTGCGCCATTCAAACCCATGTTGTTCAAGAGTCAACTGTATATATTTTTATTGTGATAAACTATATATAACACACAATTTACCATTTTAACCTTTCTTAAGGGCACTATTCGATGGTATTAAATATATCCACCATGTTGTATAACCTTCGTCGCCATCCATTTCCACAGCTTTTTCATCATCTCAAACAGAAACTTATACCCATTAAAAAATAACTCTCCATTCCTCCTGCCTAAAGCCCCTTATAAACTCTCTTCTACTTCCTGTCTGTATGTATTTGCTAATTCTAGGTACCTCATATAAGCGGAATCATATAATGTTTGTCCTTTTGTGTCTGGCTTATTTCACTTAGCTTAATGTCTTCTAGGTTCATCTATGTTTAGCATATGTCAGAATTTCAACCCTTTTAAGACTGGATACTACCCCATCATATGGATATATACTACATTTTGTTTACGTTTTTGTCAGTTGATGGGTTGCTTCCACTTTTGCAGTATTTTGATGCTTTTATGAGCATCCATGTATTCATTTTTGTATGAACGTGTTTTCAGTTTTCCTGGGTGTATAGCTAGGAATGGAATTGCTAGGTCATATGGTATCTCAGTGTTTAACTTTTGAGGAACTGTCAGCTGAACCATTTTCCATTCCTACCAATAATATATGAGAGTTCCAGTTTCTTTATATTCTTGCCAACATTTGTTATTTTCCATGTTCTTTTAAAAAATTATTACCATTCTAAAAAAAAATAAATAAATAAAAAATAAATAAAAAATTATTACCATTCTAATGGGTGTAAAGTGGTATCTCATTGTGGTTTTATTTGCATTTCTCTAATGACTAATAATATTGAGTGTCTTTTCACGTGCTTATTAGCTGTTTGTATATCTGCTTTGTAGAAATGTCTATTCAGATCCTTGCCCATTTTTAACTTGGATTGTTTGTCTCTACTGAGTTGTAGATGTTTTTGTAATCTAGTCTGGCTGCAAAACCCTTATTAGATACACGATTTGCAAATATTTTCACCCATTCTTTGGGTTGTCTTTTCACTTTCTTAATAGTGTATTTGTTGCACAGAAGTTTTCAATTTTGATGAAGTTCAATTTAATCTGTTTTTTCCTTGGTTGCTTGTGCTTTCGGTGTCCCATCTATGACACTGTTGCCTAATCCAAAGGTAAAAAGATTTACACCTATATTTTCTTCACTGAGTTTTATAGTTTTAACCTTTACATTTAGGTTTTTTATCCATTTTGAGTTAATTTTCACATCGGGTGTGAGATAGAGGTTCAGATTCATTCTTTTGCATCTGTTTGTCCCACCACCATTTATTGAAGACTGTTCTTTCCCCTTTGGATTGTCTTGACATGCTTGTCAAAAATCAGTTGACTATAGATGTGTGGGTTTATTTCTGGACTCTCAGTTCTATCCTGTTGATGTGTTTGGCTATTTTATGGTATTATGTTAGTACCAGTTTTGATTATTATAGCTTTGTTGTAAGTTTAAAAATGCAGCAGTGTGAGTCCTCAACTTTGTTCTTTTTTTTCAGGATCGTAATTTGGTTCCCTTAAATTTCTATACATATCTTAGGATCATCTTGTTAATTTCTGCCAAAAAAGGAAGTTGAAATTTTGAGAGATTGCACTGAACCATAGCAATATTAAGCCTTGCAGTCCGTGAGCATCAGATGTCTTTCCATTTATTTATTTTTTTCCCGCGTTTCTTTTACTGATGTTTTATAGTTTTCAGTGTATAGCTCTTATACTTCTTTTGTTAAATTTATTCCTATGTGTTTTATTTTTTTTGGATGCTCTTGTAATGGCGTTGTATTCTTAATTTCATTTTCAGATTGTTTTCTCCTAGTGTATAGAAGTGTAACTGATATTTATATGTTGCTTTTATGTCTTAGAACCTTACTGAACTTGTTAATGAGCTCTGTTTTGTGTTTATGTCTTCCTTAGGGTTTTCCATAGAAGAGCTTATTTCATCTGCAATTAGAAATAGTTTTACTTGCTTAATTGCCTTGTCTAGAACATCTAGTACAATGTTGAATGAAAGTGATGAGAGTGGAATTTTTGTCTTATTCCTGGTCTTAAGGAGAAAGTTTTTAGTCTTTTAACATTAAATATGATGATAGCTGTGGATTTTTCATAGATGCCCTTTATCAGGTTAAGGACATTCTGTTCTATTACTAGTTTGCTGTGTATTTTACTATGAAAGAATTTTGGATTTTGTCAAGTGCTTTTGATGCCTCTCTTGTGATGATCATGCAGTAATTCTCCTTTATTTTATTAATATGTTGTATTACATTGATTGGCTTTCATATGTTGTTATCTTTGTATTTCTGGGATAAATCCCATTTGGTGGTGTGTAATCCTTTTTTTATATGCTGCCAGATACTGTTTGCTGGTATTTTGTTGAGGTTTTTGTGTTTATATTCATAAGGGATATTAGTCTATAGTTTTCTTTTCTTTAAATGTCCCTGTCTGGTTTTGTATCAAGGCAATACTGGCCTTAAAGAATGAGTTGGAAAGTGTGTCCTTTTCTCCTATTTTTTGGAAGAATTTATGAAGGACTGATATTAATTCTTTAAACGTTTGGAGGAACTCATCAGAGAAGCCATCTGGCCCTGGGTTTTTCTTTGTGGGGGTTCATTTTTTTAATGCAAGGTGCAGAAGAGTATTTATAGTACAATTGAAGGGAGGGTAAGGGAGGGAGAGAAGAGTCTTTTTAAAGCAGTATCTGTGTGTTTATATTAATACAGAAAAGTTTTGAAAAGATCCATAAGAAAAGATGATACACAAGCAAAGGTTATCATTGAGTAATGAGATGGAACTCGTCTCCTGTTCCTTTTTTTTATGCTTGTGAACATGTACTACTTTAAATTAAAGGACAAAACGAAAGGAAATGCCTACTTAAAAGGGCCAGCATTTGACCATGTGCTTTTTCATCTGCATGGTTAGATGCAGGGCTGAGTACTTGCCTCTGGCCTGTGTCCTTAGGACCTCAGGCTAGTAGGCCCTGCATCTCCAGCTCCACAGTTTGCTGTTCCCCCTCTCTTTAAACCTCCAGCAATGCTGAATTACTTATCACTTCCCTGAAAACACCGCCAGTTTTGAGCTACTGTGCCTTTGTAATCCTATGCTAACCCTTCCCCCTTTATCTGCCCTATTAATCTCTCCGAATTGGCACTTATCCTTTAAAACCCCTTCCAAACGTTTAGTAACCTGCCTTTGTGAATACCTCCCACCTCCCAGCTCACTCCCCCATCCAATGGGAAAGTAAAAAGCTCTCTCTTCTGCTGCCTCTCATACATTACGTATATTTTTGTTATTAAATTTTATGTTTATTATTATTAGTTCACATATATGTCTTCCCTAAAAGTACAGTTTTATTCAAGCTCGTATCCAAGAAGCTTAGCACAATGCTTGGCACAAAACAGATGCTCCAAAATATTTGAATTGAATTCATACAACAGGAAAAGGCATCTGAGTAGGATGGGCAGTGAGAGCCAAGGCCAGAGTTTGAATTCCTATAACCTGTTCTGGTTTGGCACGACAGGAGGATTTATGCTCGGAATGTAGTTGAATGAATTTGGCAAGGCTGATAATGGAAGTTCTTAAAAGCTAAGTAGAGTATACTTGGTAGGTAAATATCGACAAGATGAATAACTCCTCTCACCTCCTTGAGTCTTTGCTCAAATCTCTCTCCTCAGTAGGCTTACCCTGATCACCTGAGAGGGATGGACCAAGAGCTTGGGGTTGATAGATGCAAACTATTACATTTAGAATGGATGAACAACAAGGTCCTAATGTATAGCACAGGGAACAACATCCAGTCCCCTGGGATAAACCATAATGGAAAAGAATGTATATATGTGTATAATTGAGTCACCTTGCTGTTACAGCAGAGATTGGCATAACATTTCAATTAAAAAATGAAACATTCACCCATACTCTGACACCTGCACTCTCAAGTTGCCTTTCCCTGATCTTCCTCCTTTTCCTACAGCATGTATCACATTTGATATAATTTACTTACTCATTAGGTTTTTTATTTATTGTCTTTCTCCCCCTTAGAACATAAGCTCCTCTCACTAGGGTGGCCTTGTTCACCGATCCTTCACAAGCACCTGGAACATTGCCTGGCACATGGTTGGCACTCAGTAATTTATTTGTTGAGTGAATGAATCCTAAATTAATAAACTTCAGAATCTTGTCCAGAGCAGGCACAGGCAGCTTAGGTATAGTTGACATGGCTTGTTTCTGAAAGAAAAGTCTGATCTTTAAAACTGCTAAGATAGTGTCATCTATTTGTAATGTAATCTGGAGCAGTGCAAGGAAGGGAGGTGAGGGAAAGCAGTTTCTCTTGCCTTAGTACATTGCCTTAAGGTTTGTTTCCTTAGACACCAAATTGGGAAGTGAAACATGAGTCCATTTGAGTTTATTTCTTGCCTAGAAAAATGTTATTTCATGTGGTGATTAATTCCTGTGCTTTAATAATTTCTCTCTTTCTTTCTCCACAGACCTTTGTAGTATTAAACAGAGGGAAAACTCTCTTCAGATTTAGTGCCACGCCTGCCTTGTACATTTTAAGTCCTTTTAACCTGATAAGAAGAATAGCTATTAAAATTTTGATACATTCATATCCTTTTCTGCAAATGTGGAGTGAATGTAGCCATTGTGTGTTCATTGGTATGTGTTTCTGAATGTCCACCACCTAATTGTATATTAACTATTTTATCATTGATGTAGATGACTATTCCTCCAGTCAGAACTTCTGCTAAACCCTTAGCTGAGCTTCAGCAGGTTTCTTTTTTCTTAGGATGATATCACGGGAATCTGGAATTTTCTGGGTATCATTAAGAGGGACAAGTTAAGATGGTAACTTTACTGAAGTCTTAATTTTTAAAGCACTCAGACTTTAGTAATTTCATAACAAGTTGTATTATTCAGCTTTTTACATATTAAAGCCCATATTAGAATTTTTGAAAAGCTACTATAAATAATTGAGCAACTGTTTTAGAGATCTGCTTTGATTTCTTAAACCACAAACTTAAGAAGTAAGATAATGTCTCAGATTAAATGGCCTCTTTGGTGCACAGGTTTAGATCTAGATTGCAGGATTGATATGAATTTTTTATATATATTTTTGCCCCCCTTAAAAGAAAATGCCAGTTTACTCATGCGGCTTGACTTTGCATCTCCTTAATATAGGAGAGCGTATGACAGATGAAGAATTACGCGATGGGTTTAGCAACTTCACTTAGTAACTTTAAACCTTCATGGTTGGTATTTAATTTGACGATACTTAGTCCCATGCTTCAGAGTTTTGTATCCTCCAAGTAGGATGAAGAAACCAGCAGTTGCTGCTTCATAAACAGGTTTGTTAAGCTTTTGCACCTTTTGTTTTTGTTAAGAATTTAGCAACCTGATCTGGAATTTGTGGGTTTTATAAGCAACATAGTTCTGAAATCTAAAGATTTATAAGAAAATAAATAATTCACAATGGACTCCTTCCTTTCTTGTTGGATCAGGGGATGATTTTTTTTATATTCTAACCAGAACATGTTATTATTCCCTGAAGAAAAATCCAGCTGTGGGAAGAGAAAAATCCAGCTGTAAGAAGTGTTCTAAAACTCCACTAATAGAATGAAGGTAGTGAATGCCATCAGCAAGAGAGAGTGAATTAGTAACAAATGAGATATGACTTCTGTGCAGGTTAAATAACTCGTATTGATCTAAAGCAGTTTAATTCTTCTCAGTAGAAAAGAATATGGAGAGGGAAATGGCAACCTAGTCCAGTATTCTTGCCTGGAAAATCCCATGGACAGAGGAGCCTGGTGGGCTATAGTCCATGGGGTCGCAAGAGTCGGATATGACTTAGTGACTAAGCCAGACAAGAACAAGAAGGGCTGAGCAAGATCTTGGATGGAATTGAAATGGCAGCAAAATGATTTGCTACCCATAAACATTCCTGGACACTCTCAGAAAGATCAGGTGAATTTGCCTCATTACCTAATTCTTAGGAGTACGGTGGTATAGATGTCCTTAAAATCCTTACCCAGTCCTTACCACAACTGGTTTCCCGAATTTGACAGATTCAGCAGACATTAACTGTTGCTTTGCCCTGCAAGGACACAGCCCTTTGAAGGGCTATGGGAAAAAAGTAACCTGTTAAATACATGAACATTTTCAAATAATTGGTAATGCAAGATAATTAACAATAAATGACTCCTCAATAACATAGATAGATTTAATTTGTTTTTCTCATCCAATGACTTTGGCATCTGGCAGACTGCAAGATTTCTGGTTACTGGGCAAAAAGGTATTTAGAGGCATAAATGGTAAGAAGGAAAAATGTTTATCCAAAAGAACAATGACAGCCCTTTTGAAAAAAAGAGTGACCATCCTGCTGTGTCCACTCACATTCTCTGGCTGGGTGTGGATACATATGGTGGCACTCATATGGTTCATGGTGGTGGCCACAGTTTTCATTATCACCTTGCCTTTTCCTCCTTTGTGCTTTGTCTCCTTTCAGGTTACTGATTTCAATTCTAATGATACTTAATGTGAAATGTATTTGCTTCCTGAGGATAAAAGCAGGCCAGATTTTGTATATTCTGCCTTGACTCTTTTCTACAGTATTTAGCATGATCATTATGTGCACTATTTTGACCAACTGTGTATTCATGACTTTTAGTAACCCTCCAGACTGGTCGAAGAATGTGGAGTAAGTAGCTCATGTATTTATTTTTCTGCTTGCTTGTTTTAAATATATCTAGTCACTGCATCTTGCACTGCACAGCTTATCCATCAAGGAAGAAAATCATTTGCCCACTTTTCATGTGACAGAGATGGATGAGGATACATGTGGAATTTAGGAAATATCCTTAAACATCAACTCTGGAAGTTATTATTTCTAGGTTATTACCCATTTTTTATTTCACTGGGTGAGGATACATCTGTAATTTAAGAAGTAAGTATCCTTAGGAATCAACTCTGGAAATTATTGTTTCTCGATTATTGCCCACATTTTATTTCACGGAGTGGGTGAGGATACATGTGGAATTGAAGAAATATCCTTGGAAATCAACTCTAGAAAGAGAAAGCCTGCCGTGGAAGTGACGACTCACCACCTCTGCCCTTTCCTATGGTAGCCTGTGTTAGCCAAAGCTTTAACTGGCCCATCACCGTCTTCTACCCTCAATTCCTGATGATACTGCCTTTTTCTCCAGCTTTAGCCTTCCTTTTCATGTTGTTTCAAGTGAAAATTGGCTCTGAGGCCTCCCCTCCTGGTTCAAAATGATCACGTGCTAGGTGGCAGTACAGAGCTATTCCTTTGTGATGCCCTTCAGGACCCAGTGCCACAGTCCAACTTTCTTGGTTTGTGCATTTCAGTAATTTTCATTAGATGCATCCCTTTCTCTTCCTCACTTCCTTTCTGCTGCATCAGTTGTGTACTTTCTGTTTTGTCTCTGTTAGTGAGGCTGCATGTCAGCAAGTGCTCTCTTAGAAGGTTCATTTAAAGTTCCTTTCTGTTTAGAAATTGCCTCAAGCTATCCATTTTTTCGACAGGTACACGTTCACAGGGATTTATACATTTGAATCACTAGTGAAAATCATTGCAAGAGGTTTCTGCATAGATGGCTTTACCTTTTTACGGGACCCATGGAACTGGTTAGATTTCAGTGTCATCATGATGGCGTAAGTTCTCTGCTTACTTTATTGCTGTTCTGGATGTGATTGTATGTGTGTGGTTGTACCCTTGGGTGTGTTTGTATGACAGTGTAAGTGTGAGTTTATGGGCTTAGTTGTGTGAGGAATTAAAGGATAACCATGTAAAGTGGTATGGACATATGTCTGATTCTTATGAAGGCCTCTTGGGGTTCAGGCAGAGACAGGGTGTACATATGGGAGAGGATGAGCAGATGGGAGCAAAAGTAGCAAGTGATTTTCTATTGCAACTCCCTATATTTTGTTTCCCCCTATAACATTGACCAGGGTATACACAGTTATCACTAGGAGGCCTTGGTGAAGACTTCATATTTTTTAGGTGTAAATCTTAGGCTGAAACTCAGTTTCCTGGGTATATTATGTTATATGTAATTTCTTGAGGCTGTCCAGATGTTACAGAATTCAGAACACATTTTAGAGTCAACGCATAAGTATCCAATCTGCTCATTTCCTAAAGAATTGCTGACCAGAGCTTCAAACTATTATTACTTGGTATCAGTGTAACTCCACATTGGCATGCTAGCTGTTCTATGTAATTAGTGTTGTTTTAACAATGAAAATGCATCTCTTCGGGAAACTTAGATGGTGACAGAAGAGGTGTAGCAGACTTTATTTGCATTTTCATGTTGGGGAAAGTGTTTTGTGGTTTGGTAGGGGGTGAAGGTATAGTGTAGATTGTGTGTGTGTGTGTGTGTGTGTGTGTGTGTGCACGCAGATGTGTAAGAGATTGGGTGCATTTGTATATGTTTGGATCTGAGCATCTGATACAAAGATGTATTTCAACTATAAAGTGTGAATGAATGATATACACTGAACATTTGAAACTGGAACTTTGACTTTCTGTTATATTAAGAAAATTTCTAGCTTTCCAGCATTATGAATACACTGGTGTGTGTCCTTGCTAGGCACAGAGCTGGTGATTAAATCAACACTTAACAGAATATTGGCTCTGATCCCATGATCTGTGTTTTTCCTGTATGTCACAAGCTAAAACTTCATATGTGGGCATGACTGCAATGATACGCAGACAACTGTTGGATAAGTCATATATGCAGAGATTTAGGCATTTTTTCCATTGTCAACTAGGAAGTTATTTTAATGTAGATTTGTTTATATGGGGCTCCTGCTGCAGAAATCTGTCTCCTTTTCCTAAGAAATTGTTCACAAAACTTGGAGACATAAGCCTTTGAATACCTCCTGGCCTTCCTTTTAACTGGAAAAAGAGAATGGACTAAGAGTAGTCATTCTGATTGGGATCTGCACATCATGATGCTGCGTGAGAAAGCCCCAGGAGCCTTCTGGTGGTATCACTTCTTTCAAATACACTTTGGATTTCTCCTTGCCCAACTGAAAAAAATAAAATGTGTTCCTTAAATGCTTATATTTGAAACTTTTCTTTTTCAAGGAAAAAAATGAAATCATATCTTGCTTATAAGACCCTTTCTTACCCCTATTCTCAAACCCTCGCCCAGTGGTACCATTACAAGTTAACTTTGGTTTGATTCTGCAGGTATATAACAGAGTTTGTAAACCTAGGCAATGTTTCAGCTCTACGCACTTTCAGGGTTCTGAGGGCTTTGAAAACTATTTCGGTAATCCCAGGTAAGATGGCCCGGGGTTGGTGTTAGGTGTTGGGTTAGGGCCCTGACGTGACGTATTGTACTTTTTGTTTTGTTGTGGTTTCGTTTTTTTTCCTTTGGTGTTTGTGTTTGTGTCCGTGTTTGTCATTTGTGTCTGTGCGTGACCTCCCTTACTACAGATATGTGACAGAGTTTGTGGACCTGGGCAATGTCTCAGCGCTGAGAACATTCAGGGTTCTCCGAGCTTTGAAAACTATCTCTGTAATTCCAGGTGAGAAAATTTAAACACCAAACTGACTTTGCCTCATCTCCTCTTATCTCCTCCATTTGCTCTGTCCACCACATCCTGAAGCAGCGTCAGCACAGCTGAGATGGCCTTGCATTTCGCATGTTTTTCCCAGGAGATGTTCTCTGGAATGGCTCTTTGGTCCTTAAGCCAAAGTTGCTCTGACAGTGCTTGCAAGGCATGCAGCCCCCATTCCATCCATGCTCTGAAAAAGCACGTGCTTAAGAGTCACTTGGATCTTAAGATACCTGAAAAAATTGTCACGGAGCTAGCTGTCTGTTTGAATATGAATCATTTGCTTCCTGGCCTCGTGGAATTACAGTAATTTTAACATTCACCGTCATTCCATTGCTTGTGATTTCCAGGCTTCCTGTCGCATGGTTTGCTGATGGGATGTTATTCGAAGAATTGCACTTTTACTGTTACTGTGTTAATGGAATTATTTAATCACAGAAGAACCCTTATCCCATTGACTAGTCCAGTGTTCCAGACAAATTTAAGAGCCTTGGTGTTAGTGACCTGAACTTTGATAATCACTGTTATATCACATACTGTTGCTGTCTAATTCACTAGAATAAGAACCAGTAGATATCTACTACATATATATTCAGAAACCATTCTCAGACATAAATCCCAATGAAAGCTTATGTGGGTGCCATTAAAAAAAAAAGTCAAAGGTAAGGTAAGATACATCAAAGCACATGGGCAAACAAAAAAGTACAGTACTTTACAAGGAAAAAAAAAGTAATCGGGGCTAGTTGAGAGGTAGTTGATTGACATTCTTTACATTTTTTGCCTCTTTTTCTTGATTCTGATTGAGCTAGCCCAATAGTTCTTAACCTTTTGAAGGTTTTGTATCCTTTTGAGAACCAGGTGAAATTTCATAGGCACCGCCTCCCCAGCAAAGCCCATCGATGGCCCCCTGAGGTTGAGATCTATTAATTTAATTCAAATCCTTGCTGCTCGGTAATAACTATCTTTCAGAAGACCAGTCTTAAAATCTGGAAGGAAAAATATTTTAGTTAGTAGGCTAACTAACATGGCAGAAGTCTAGACTGTGTTGTTGCTGGTTGGACTTTGGTTGGGTTGTATTCAGGAGTTTTTAGGGAAGGAAGACTCCCAAGAGGCCAGGCTTTCCGCTGCAGTTTTGTAGAAACAGGGACATGAAGAACAGAGGCATCCTATTCCTGGCATCACATGGCTCTTCTTGTGGCTGCACCAAAAATACTCTTCTTTTCTCCTTTTCAACGTTATCTAGATATCAAATGCAGAGAGAGGGAAGTACAGAGGTAGAATTCTGCTGACTGAGAACCTCAGGGAGGTAAATCTCAGTTTCTCCACTTACAAACATGAGCCATGAAGTGGGCCCATAAATTATGGCCCTATTGAGAATGAATTACTTTATTTTTAGCAATGGTAGCTTACTCCTTGCCAACCAGAGGCTAGATGTCAATGGAGTATATTCTTTTTTTTTTTTAAGATTTTTTTTTAATATGAACCATCTTCAGGGTCTTTATTGTATTTGTTACAATATTGCCTCTGTTTTATGGGTTGATTTTTTGGCAGCCAGGCATGTAGGATCTTAGCTCCTTGACCAGGGATTGAACTCACACCCCACACACGGGAAGGCAAAGTCCCAACCACTGGATCATCAGGGAAGTCCCCTACAGTATATTCTTATTGGCAAAAAACTATAACTGTGACTTGTCAAAGTTTAGTTCTTAGCCATTTTATTAATAAATCCCTCTGACAGAAAATCCAGCTCATTCTCTAGGTGCCTTTATGAAGCTTGTTGATGGCAGCCTAACCCTTAAGCAGGCCTTGTCTTTCTTTTTTTCTTTTTGTAACACATCTGTCCCACCAAGTCTTTACTGTCATTTTTCCTTTGGTCTCTTTCCTCCTCTGGCCTCTTTTAAATATGATGCCATGTTTTCTACTCACTTCCCCCAGTGTACTCCGCAAGGCATCTGTCCCTTTATGTTCTTGTGATCTCAAAACTTCTCTTCCAGAACTAAATTGGAAAGCTGTGCTCTCCTCACTAACTAGGGCAGCAGATGCTATCTCTGCTCCAGCTCTTAGCCTCTGTCTCTGTCTCTGCTGTATGATTAACTTCTGACCACAGCATTTCTGCAAGATAACTCTGACTGATGGCATGTTATTTATCCTTAATGCTCTAGTTTTATAGGTATATATTAATGTCTAGTTTTGCATTCTGTATTATAAATATATATCTATAAGCACAGTGCCTGGCCTGTAATAGTCCTCTATAAATGATTTTAGCAGTAGCAATTATAAAGAAGAAACCTAAACCCAAAGAAAGAGTTTGTGTGAAGATTTAGACACAAACTTTGCAGTTTAAAATAAATTATTGGATTCCCATTTCTAGAAGCACCTCCTAGTTGAGCTAGCTTTGGGGGGTTTTTGACAATAACTTTAAGGGATAATAAAGTCAATGATACAGTCAGTTCTTAAAGTGTGACTTTTTATCCCAAGTTCTTTTGCTCCCTATTCTACTTGTGGAGGGCTGTTGCCCTGTGCCTACCTGCCTGTTACCCAGGTCTCCTTCCACGGTGGCGAACCTCAGTCTGAGTCAGTGGAGCTGAGCCGTCTCTTGATTGGAAATTGGAGTCACTTTGACTCCGCAGTCACAGAGCAGGGCCATAGCTACCTCTGAATAAAAGCTGTTGCTTTACATACCAAGTTTTCTCATCGGCCACTTCACTGGAATTGTCGCTTTCTTTGCCTTCTGCTCCCAGTTTGATGGTAGGCTTTTGCCGAAGCTGCCAAAAACAGAAGTGAGATCTACCACAGAACTGACAAGGGACCTGTAAAATCTCACAGAGTTCTCAACTCCCTTTTTGAGAGTTTTTTCCTTTCCTAGAGCACTTACCCTGCCCACCTGGGCTGATGTTGTCCTCCCTCTTAGCATCTTCGGTAGATAGTCTGGATGTGTCAGGGCAGCCAGAACTTCCTGAAGATTGGAGAGTACAGTGTATCAGTTAGCTCCAGCCTTTTATACAAGATGCTTCAATTTAGACCCTTCTTGTGGCTTAGAAAAGAGTGAACTCACATTCTGATCTCTTTATTTGCTGACTCAAGACTTGGATACCTATCATTCATGATTTCCCTTTGCTTCAGAGGACTCGACTTGAAGCTTCAACAGTGCCACGCGAACTATGCTAAAGGGACCAGTTACAGGAAAAGACCCTTTGAAAATTTCTTTTGCTCTGGAACTTGCCAGATTCAACTTGACATTGAAATATTCTGTATAGAAAGCTGTATGTCTTAAAACTTTGTTTTTACTTTGTATGTATCTGGGTACAAAAGGAACTTCTTAGTGACTGTCAGAAGTTTCATCCCCTGCGGGCTTTGGCCACATGCCCCAGGACTGACATGCCTCCAAGATAGGGTGGGCATTTTAAAGCGGGTGTCTGAGTTTCCTTAGAGGGTAGCACTTACGGGTGTAAATAAAACTCGTTGGGAGGGCCTCGCTGTTGGTCCATTTTCATTTCCATCATCATTGAAATGACCTCTGAAAGCACTCCTTCTGTTCATCATTTTACTCTCTTTAGAGCTGTAATTTCTTGATTATTTTTCTCTTGGGTTTGATATTTCTCTACTTTCATTTCTGTTACCTTCTCTCTCTCTTTACTTGTGGTATCAGATACAAAGCAGGGAAAATGAGAGGTCCTTCTCCCTCCCACCCCAGTATTCACAAAGACAGCATTTTTTAAAAATGTCCCCATTATGAATGTAGCAATTTCTACTGCATAGTAAAGGGGAATAGAATGCGTTTTAAGACTGTACTGGGACTCATTGTTTCTTTTAAAATACTCAGTAGCTTTTGTATTTCTTGTTTTTCCACATTGTTTCTCCGGGTAGACAGCTGAAATTTACCACCATGGTCCTGAGTGGAACACTGAGGGCTCATGGGATCTCTCCGCCCCCACTGGGAGCTAGTTTCATTGTGGTCAGACTTTGTGATACAAATCTATCTGGTCTTGAGTAAAGAAATCTAGGGCCCCCAAGTCTCTCGCACGTTACTCTTGATCTAAAGAACCTCTAAGAACTATCATTGCGAGGACTGAATCTGCAGCAGAGAAGAGTAACTGGGCACAACTGTACCCCAGGACTTGTCTGGATGAGCCAGATTGTGGGACTGAGAAGCCATTCCTTCACTATTGTGAGGGCCGCGTGTTAACGGCTGTTGAGGCCTGTACCGATGTTCATTTTGTATGAGGAATAGCTCATGTGGCTTAAAACCCATTAGATTTCTCAACCTGAGTCACAAACCAGGAAAGATAAACTATTTATAATCTGGCATCAGCCTGGTGGAAAATCTTGATCCCAGTATGCACAGCTGATTTCCCTGGATTCCAGCACGTAAGCAGACTTTGTTCATTTATTCAAGGGATCACTGGGCATCAGGAAATGAGACAGGAGGTTCAGAGGTGCCTTTGGACATAGGGTGGAATAAAATTCTGTGGTAGCAGCTTCACTTGCTTCTCAGAGTTCTTTAAGTGTCCCACTCCTATCTGGGAGCTGACCTTTCTGTACATTAGGTCCAGCTGCCTTTCCTTGTTCTGTAGTAAATATATTAACTGCTTCTGCTCAGACACATCTCAGTGCTAGTTAATGTTAGCCTTTTCCAAGAGTTCTCGCCGTCCAACCTGCCCCCACGTGGCTTCTGTTGCACACTCTGTTGTGTAGGAGTCGAATGAAGGAGCATTCTGCTCTGCTTTGGATAGTCGGTTTTCTTGCTTGTTCTGGTATATGGTATTGTGAACCAGCAGAGGAAGTAGACAGCTTATCCTTACAGCCAGAGCAGTGGCATTCTCCAGTCCTGCATGCATCAGGTCAAGAATTCTGCCAGCAACTTCTTACTTTTTTTGGCCTGTGTTGCTGGTTGTAGGGGGAGGACTTTTGCTTGGCTGCATTAGCTAGTATGTGGCAGCCACTGCTAGCCAGACTGTGAAGGTTAAGCTTAAGAAAAGCATTGAGGGCGTCATCTCCTTAAATTGGCATTGATGTCTGCAGATATGGTCGTTTGCAGTTAATCAAATCTTATGGAAGGAAGAAGAGTCTTGGCTGATGCCTGAGTAAACGCAGTGACTGTTTACATTGAATGTTGCTGAGTCATTGTGTGCTTACCTTCACTACAGACTTCAGGCTAATCACCTTTCTTCTTCCTCTGCCTCCCTCTAATTTTCTCCTAACAATCTGGATGAGAATCTTAGAGAGCAAACTTTTTGGATGGCCATTCTGTTATGTAGTGATCAGTTTTGTTTAATTAAGATTTGTTCCTTTGTGGCCCTATGAATACCATTTCCAACTTAAGTTTCTATTTTAAACTTCTTGAAAGCTTAAAGAACTTAACCAAGGTGTTGATCAGACCTCAAAGCAGAACACTTGAAAAATATATTTTCGCCTTCTGGACTCATGTTTATAGATTTTGTCAGCAGTGGCCTCTGGTTAATGGAGAACAGATGTTGAACCAGCTGATTGTGAGTGTTCAGGTCCATACCCAGAAAAATAAGGAGTTCCATGTAGGGTTGGTGTCTTAGTTGAACATCTCTGGTTGCAAGTAGAAAGATACAAGCATCCTTCAAGGACATTGAAGGCTGGGATGTTTGGGGCTTCTGGAAGCCAGTGAAACCAGAACACAGAGCCAGAAAGCCCCAGACACCAAGGACTACCTTGTCTTCATATTTCTTTTCTCCTTGCATCTGTTTCCTTTTTCTGTGTCTAGGCATACTGCCTTTACTTCTCAGAAATATCCTAATATAATGATAGAATATGGCTACCACCCAGCTCCCACATTTATTTATTATCATTCCCACCACATGAAAGGCTACTGGACTCTCTCTTGCCCCATTCCAAATTCCTGGAATTCAGGATCTAGATTTAGGTCAGATGTCCATCCTGACATCTAACTACGAAGAGAAGGTCACTTCCTACAAACAAGGCTGCTGGGAGCCTGGCCTTATGGAATAGAAGATGGTTTGAGCTCATTGCCTGGAATTTCCTGTTGTATGGGGCTTGGAACTGTCCAGAAAGTTCCCAGACAAGGAAAATCAGATTAGACTTATGCTCAAATTACATGTTTTTAAAAATGAATTAATGTCACAAATGCATTGGTTTGACTGTTTTAAAGTTTTATCCTCTTATTACTGATACAGATGACAGCTAACAACTCAGTTCATGAAAACAGAAGTAAAAAGTGGCTTGAAACTGTCATCAGGTGTTCAGATAGGTGATTGTCTGAGCCATTCAAGAGAGATTGCTCTATGAGCTCCTCATAAAGAAGTCCAAGAAAAGAAACTTTACAGCCATTCTTCAGTGACCTATCAACTACTCTTTTTTTTTAATTTATTTTTTATTGATGTAGAGTTGAATTACAATGTTGTGTTAATTACTGATGTAAAGCAAAAGTGACTCAGGTATACATATATATACATTCTTTTTATATTCTTTTCCATTCTGATTTATCAACTACTCTTAAAAAAAAAAAATCACTCTTTTTGAAAACATAACTGTCATTTTAGGGACCTAGAATTGAGTTATTGACCCAATATACACCTGCTTCAGCCCAACCAAATGTAGCGAAGGACTTCTCTGTTCCTTAGCAACTTACTGAAATAAGTTCCATAACACGGGGACAATTTTTCCTTCTCTATAGCTGCCTTTTATTTTATACCACCAGTACCTTCTTACCTAACTGCATGATAACGATACACAGTTTCCCAGAACTTTAGGAATAAAAGATTGAAACTCCAACCACTTAATCACGAACAAATATCTCCACCCTACTTTTAAAGACTCTTAGCTCCTCCACTGCCCACTGCCAGGTGCTCTTACGCTTACCCGTGTTCGGTGTATGAGAAAATGAGTCTGGGAGGTGCCCTTAAGTTTGTTCCAAGACACAGTTCTTAGATAGAGGCTGAGCCAGGACCAGAACTCCTGCTTTCTGATTCCTGCCTTGTACTCTTTTTGCTCAGCCCTGTGAGCAGAAGGAATCCGGCTTGAAATGCCTTATGTCCTGGAGCCCAGGCGAGCTCTTCCTGATCCCTTTGGGGGCCACAGCCCCTCTCCAGGAGAGGCCCACTCTGTGAGAAAGCCCAGGCCTTTGCACGCTGAGGTCTCTACAGTCTAACTCTTGGCTCTTTTTACCTTAATTTCTCTTCCATTCAGGATATCTGTGTAAGAGAGAAGAAAATTTCATATGCATTTACTCTTTCAATAAAGAACTTAAAAATATATTAGGTGTTTGGCCAAGACCACCACAACATTGTAAAGCGATTATCCTCCAATTAAATACACACACACACACACACACACACACACACACAGAGTAAGTGCCTGCTTTGTGACAGGTCTTGTGCTAAACGCAGCATCCATTACCACTCTCAGGCTTAACTTTGAAAATTCTAGGTGGTTACTTGCAAAATACAGCAAAAGAAGAGTCATGTCTACATCTCCCATTAGATCACCATTGTACAAGTTTAGCCACACAGTGATATTATCCTAGTCATATCTCTTGGAGGAGGGCAACATATGAATAACAGTGATAGCTAACAAGATATAAGTACCCGGCAGTGTACTTGGTATTTAATATTCATTATCTTATTTAAACCTCACAACAAGCCAACGAGATTGGTATTATCAATACCTTTTTACAGGTGTGTAAACTGAGGTTCAGACAAAAGTGGTTAACATTTGAGTTATTTACTGTGTGCCAGGTACTGTGCTAAGGGTTTATATGAGTCACGCTTAGTTAACGCTCACAACAGCCTTATGATATTTAACTATAAGTATCCCCATTTTAGAGATGAAAACACAGATCCCAAGAGGTTAGGTATATTGCTCAGGTCACACAAGTAAGTGGTATAATTTGATTAAGGTTAGTAATTATCTACCCAGACTCATACGTTACAGCCAGGACCAGGATTTCTGTAGAATTTCACTGGATATTCTTGCTTTCAGAAGTAACTTAGGGATAAGCTCCCTCTTGAGACCTGTATGTCAAGGCCCTGTGTCTGCTCTGTCCGTCCTGGTGTTTCGGCCCCCCAGGAGTGTTCAGTGCTTCCTTGGCCATGTCTTACAGGTAGCTGATGTGTGGGCATGCCCAGGAGAATCACATGTAGACTCAATCTTGATCCAAACATCATGAACCCACAACCATACTTTTCTTTGTCTCCTGTCCCAGATTTCTCCCTGTGCGGTTAAGAAATCTGCCTGCAGATTTACATGTGAAACAGTGGCTTGCCTTTAAGCCGCCAATTCAAGTGGGTTATGTGTTTTTTTTAAATCTAGGACAGAAAAAATATCAGTTGTAGAGAACAGGACATATATGTGATGCAGAAGACGTGTATTTTTGAGTGAAAAGACAAACCACAACTACTGAATTGATAATAATTAAACTTTTCAATACATTGGCATTTCCAGAGCTCTTGGGAAAATATTATTGTACCTTCTCACCTATTGCTGGCTTTGAAACTTCCCCGTAGTTCTCTTTCTAACCCGGACGCCGCCTCTATTCCTGATTTTCCATTTGTTTGTTCAGCTAATATTTACTGAGTACCTGCTGTGGGCTAAGCCATACAAACACAGCTGTGAACAAGACAGATATAATTAATTATGACCATGATAAATGCTACAGAGGAAACTAATGGGTGCTGTTAAAATAGTCATAGTCGGGGAGGGAGAAGAGTTGTGAAGTCAGAGAAGGCTTTCTGGGCGAGTTGCTTTCAGCTGAGAGTGGAGGATGAATAGGATGCAGGCAGGAGGGACAAGAGAATGGAGGAAGCATTCCAGGCAAAGGGAACAGCAATTGTGGAGACACCCGGGCAAGTAAGAGCTTGACTCATTTGAGTCGCTGAGAAGCAGTCAGAGACAAGAAACTACTTCCAGGAAGAAAAGAGTCACATACTGGAGAAGGGACTTTCTTTTCCAGAAGTATTGACTTAAAAATGGATGCTCCTGGGAAACTTGATAATATTACTGACCCATTGTTATTCCCGTGGTGTAAAAGATGAAGTGGCCATGTTTCAAGGGTGCTGCTCTGGGGAGCAGTAGGAGCCGTGGCTGAGGGGAGGTTGGGGGAGGTGGGGAGGGCTGTGGGGCGACCCTCACTCTGGGGGTTCTCTCCCCTCAGGCCTGAAGACCATTGTGGGTGCCCTGATTCAGTCCGTGAAGAAGCTGTCAGACGTGATGATCCTGACAGTGTTCTGCCTGAGTGTCTTTGCCTTGATCGGACTGCAGCTCTTCATGGGAAACCTGCGAAACAAGTGTGTGGTGTGGCCCATCAACTTCAACGAGAGCTATCTTGAAAACGGCACCAAGGGCTTTGATTGGGAAGAGTACATCAACAATAAAAGTAGGTAGCCCTTTCTCTGCACGAGTGGGGAGAAAGTCTGTCTCCAGTGCCAATGATGGAGCTACCCCTGGGCTGTACAAAAGTGCCTGGGCCAAGACTGCTGGGAGAAGCTTTGTGAACTTTCTCCCATTCCTTGAGGTCACATTATCTTCAGAAGCTTGCAAATATCAGCCCTCTCACCCCTTCTCTCTTTTCTCTCCCTTTAAAAGGATAAGTGAAACTTTATATTTTTTTCACATGTACCCCTAAACTTTTGCTTTGAAAAATCAAGCTTAGAAACTTGATGAAAAATCCTTTTTTTCCCGAGATATTTAAACATTTAGAGTATACCTGGGCTTCCCTGGTGGCTGAGACAGTGAAGAATCCACCTACAATACAGGAGACCTGGGTTCAATCCCAGGGTTGGGAAGATCCCCTGGAGAAGGAAAAGGCTACCCACTCCAATATTCTTGCCTGGAGAATTCCATGTACAGAGGAGCCTAACGGGGTACAGTCCATAGGGTCGCAAAGAGTAGGACAAGACTGAGAAACTTTTACTTTCACCGTTCACTTAGGTTTCTTAATATTACTGAGACCTTAGCAGTCAGTCTGGTCTAAGGAAGTCGGGTCGTCTCCAAGTAACTGTTTGATCCTATCACAGTTTAGGAGTTTTAACAAGTTCATTTCAGGAACCAGAGCATTTGGGTGTTACTCTTCGGAATATTTGGTGTAGTAGTGTGCATTTGTGCGAAGTCGCTTCAGTCATGTGTGACTCTTTGCGACTCTATAGGCTATAGCCCACCAGGCTCCTCTGTCCATGGGATTCTCTGGGCAAAAGTAATGGAGCTGACTGCCATACCCTCCTCCAGGGGATCTTTCTGACCCAGGGATAGAACCCGCGTCTCTTAAAGACGCATTGGCAGGGGGCTTCTTTACCACTAGCGCCACCTGCTATGAAACTAGGGGTGAAAGTTAGCAGTATCACTATTAGTCACTCTTGAGGAAATAAAGGCAGTTAACTACCCACAAGAAAGTGTTCAAAGAGGATTTCAGGGACACAAACAGGAAAGGGAAACGTGTCTTCTAATTTAAAATAGGACATGGTTACTAGTGATCAGTTTATGGTAAAGAGAAGTTATAAGGATAGAAGGGTAGAGTTGTGTAAAGGGGTGAAGAACTCAGAAACCTCTCTTTTAGGCCCTTTGATTTGAGTACTAGAACGTGACATATAGATCTGAAGTACTAATACAAGTAGAAATCGGGTGTCTGGAAAGAACATTGCAGTAAAGCCCACATGGCAGCACTTTTCATTGTTAAATATATACAGGAAAATAGTTAATGGGAAGGAATTCTTATCAGGTTTCACTGCTGTCAGAAAAGGTTTATATGAGCTAAAATCAATAACTGTTTCTGCTGGGCTAGTTAGGAACAGTGTACCTTATTCTCTCATTCACTTAAATCTGCCTTATTCATTTCCTGCCTCTTCAAACTTTTCTAGCAAATTTCTACATAGTTCCTGGTATGCTGGAACCTTTGCTCTGTGGGAACAGTTCTGATGCTGGGTAAGTAGCTCACTTAATTTTATTCTCCTCCCATAAAATAATGTGTCACACAAAAATGAACAATATTTTCACTTTCCTTGTGCTCATGTAGTGGGCCCAATAAATTGGTTGACTCAGACTTTCTTTCTATTTTATATTTGTCCATCCAAAGTTGACATTTCACTAGTAGGTGAAGATGACTGTTAGTCTTAAGCCAAAATCAAAGATTTAAAAGATAGGATCTACAACACCAGATATCTTGCCTGTCTCTTGTAGACGCCCCTCATTCTGTCTTAACACAAGTAATAAGTTATCAAGTAAGGGCACTGTTTTCATGATGGGTTAGCACCCAAGGGTGACCCAAAATATGCCAGGCCTGACAGCATGTGGGAGGGAAAAGAGTTGCAATGTATTATCTTCCCCTCTGCCTTTTTTTCATTGTGGCAAAATATACATAACATAAAATTTGGTCTCTTAACCATTTTTACATATACAGTTCAGTGATATTAACTAGAAGTCCGTTTAATTTCTATATTGAAGTATTGATAGATACTAGAAATTACATTGGAGTAAATATCAGGTGAGTCTTAAAGCAGAAGAACTATTATAACTGAGATCACTGAAATCCCAGTATTTACTGATACAGTTTGTCACAGTGAGTGTTAAGAGAATAGAGATGATTAAGAGGAATGTCTAGGCATTTGTCATTTAGGTTAGTAGCTAAGTTAAATTTGGTTGAATTGCACATTGATATGAATCTAGGACAGTGATTCTCAAATTTTGGCATGCCTAAGAATCATCTGACATGCCCCTTAAAAATGCAAATTCATGGATCCCATATGCAGAGCTTTTATTCCCAGGTCTTGTCTAAGACAGAGGTATCCACATTTTTAAGGTGATTCTGATCCTAGACTGTCCCCAGGACATCATTTTTTGAAAAATTCACCTGGCTACTTTGTTTCTTTCCTCTTCTTTTTTAAAAGTTCCTGTTTGTTGGCATAGCCTCTATAGATGGCTGTTGATTATCTGCAAGGTCATAGAGATGACTTCCAGCTGATGACCGGGTAGGATTACGCTGAAAAGCCCGGTGCTTCCTTTTCTTTCCTCAGGCAATGTCCAGAGGGATACCAGTGTATGAAGGCAGGAAGGAATCCCAACTATGGTTACACGAGCTTTGACACTTTCAGCTGGGCCTTCTTGGCATTATTTCGCCTTATGACCCAGGACTACTGGGAAAACTTGTATCAATTAGTAAGTAATACCACGTTTTTTGGTGATGGAATTTACATAACAATATGTGGGGTTGGGGACATTCTGTGTAAGAGACCTTTGGTGAAAACATTATACAGAATCTTAGGGTGGTATTTCTCAGAGTCAGCGGGTTTATAAAATTAAGTGAGTTCTCCCAGCTCTTGGCCCAGTTTCTTTCATGCTCATCATGTATAGCTGTAGAGGCTCACAGACTTGAGAGCCTCTTGCCTGGCCTGGGAATCTGCTATCTCTGTCCTTCCTATTTCAGCAGACCATCTTCAGTATTTCTCCTTTTCGATGTTTGGGCTTAGGGCCTCTTTAAACATGTTGTGTAAGGCACTTTGCTAGACATTATAAAGATGAGGTTTTATCCACAAGGATCCTGGAGCCTAAATATGTCAACATTTTGAGATTTATAACACAATTGTATCTGTTCAAGAACATTGTGACAATTTTTTTTTTTAAGGTCAGACTGCCATTCTGTTGGCCTGCTTTGGTGACTCCGGACAAGTCATTTAATTTTGCCGGGTGTGATAGAGAAGCTAGTCTAGATGACTGCTGAGAGTCTTCCAGCTTAGAAATTCTCTGATAATCCATTGTTTTACGTTTGACTGTAAGCTTTTGATGATGCTAGTTAGTTTGGTAATAAGAATTGTGAACCCCTCAGGCATGAAGGAAACCCTTTAATTGAACTAACTTTTTTTTTTCCAATGAAAGTTTCTTATTAGGAGTTCCTGGAATTCTTCCTTTCTGTTGTACAGCCTAGTATTCCCATGAAATATTTGTAACTGATGCTAAGCTCCATGCAGTATTTGTGGTTGAGAAGAATAAAAATGAAAACTAAGTGATAATGGGTCCTGTGTATGTGCATATAACCTAAAACCCAGTTGTTCTTTGATGTCTGTTTGTTTGGTGCTAGTGAAAGGAATACTCTTAGGATCCTCTTTCCTTTTTCTCCCCTAGCCCACCCATGCATCCTTTACATTATATCCCTCTTTGAAAACTCATCCTATTGCAAAAGACTAAGGAAGGATGTCACTCAAGATAGGGACTTCTTATGAGTTGGGCCTGATTCCACAGATGAGATTTGTCTGTAAATGCTCTTTGAAGACCAGTATATAAATGACGTGAGGTCTTGTTTTCATTTCTTCACACTTGTTTTAAAACCAGCTGACAAAGTCAAATGTAATTCTTGGCTCAGAGCAATTTTTCCTTTTAAAAAAGTAAGCATTTTTCTATGGAAGGAGTGTATTAGGAGTATTTGGAACGGAAGAGGATTTTTTTTTTTTTGTCACAGTGAATAGGAGGTACTACTGACATTTCCTGTGAGTCTGGGGTAGGGGAGGCCATTTGGCAGCTGGGGATGCTGAGTGTCTGTGTGTGAAGAAGTTCCGCACAAGAAAGGATGGTCCTGGTGAAAGTGCAGTACTGCCTCTGCAGAAGAACATCAGCCCATGAGATGTGTTCAGCCTGATTCATTTGATGCAAGCAACTTAAGAAGTGGTCTTTGTCTTTACAGACCTTAAGAGCAGCTGGGAAAACGTACATGATCTTCTTTGTCTTGGTCATCTTTGTGGGTTCTTTCTATCTGGTGAACTTGATCCTGGCTGTGGTGGCCATGGCTTATGAAGAGCAGAATCAGGCAACACTGGAGGAGGCAGAGCAGAAAGAGGCTGAATTCAAAGCAATGTTAGAGCAACTTAAGAAGCAACAGGAAGAAGCACAGGTTGGTGATCAACTGTTTGCCATAGACCTTCCTGCCAGATCGTGGTGACTAAGGCCCCATCTGATTGCCACTCCAGTTGATCTTTTTAGGCACACTGTCTAATAGAAGTCTGATCTGATTGAAATAACCCAAATAACAACTGCAGATGGTCAGTCCAATTATTACATTTGTCTTAATGGCCAGTTTGTGAATATGATCTTCTGTTGACTCTGTCAACTGTTCAGTGCACAACTGCTATGAAAGCTGGAGAGAGAAAAAAAAAAGTGACCAGAGCAGTTTATATAATGCATCATGTAAGCATAGGTTTTTTTGTTGGGGGAAACATGAGGATCTCCTTCAGAGGTTCTCTATGTTCATAACGAGTCTTGAAAAGAAGATACAAGTAAAATATTGAAGTAAAATTTTAAAAAGAAACTTGTGATTCCACTAACACCCTAACATCTTACTTTTTTTAGAAAAAATTATGAAAGTATGGTGATATTTACAGGAGACTTGGAAAATACCGAACAAAGTTACATGTAGTTCCACTGTACAATTATTTGTAAATAGATAGATTAAGATTTTTAGTTAGAATTTAAATATCAAACTTTCAAAAATACAGTAGATACAGTAGACCTGGAAAGCACTATGAACTAAATCAACATAATTAAGGTTTATATAATTTCACTCAACAGCAGGATGCAAATTCTATTCATGTTCCCATGGACTATAAACTGGGAGACATGGGACTGTATCCTGGGTCATAAAACAAAGTGCAAAAATTTCATAGTCTAAAGGTATTGAAATCATACAGGGGCCTGTTTTCTTATCACTGATAACACTTTACTTTTTAATGTATTTTTTACATTGTTGGGGCCATAATATATAGTATTGATTCTCAGAGTTGCCCAAAAAAAGATCATTTGGTATCAAGGTGGCAGCCAAGTTCTTGTCTGAGATACTAAACAGAGTAAGTCCCAAAGTTCTCACCATGAAGTTCCACTCTGATTATGCAGAGCTGTGTGCCACCATACAAATTTAGCTAGGAAATGGAGATACCAGGCCCCCACCATAATGTCCTCTGACAGACTGGTTTTCCTTCCTCCTTTTTTCCCTGTCTTTGGGAAAGGAAGGAAGGAAGTGATCTCCACCACTTGGCTTAGCTTTGTGTGGCTCTAGTTAATCGCTTCCAATCTGGTCTGTTGCTGTGAAATTTTACTTTCCTAGGCGGCGGCGATGGCCACTTCAGCAGGAACTGTCTCAGAAGATGCCATAGAGGAAGAAGGTGAAGAAGGAGCAGGCTCTCCCCGCAGCTCATCTGAAGTCTCTAAACTGAGTTCCAAGAGTGCCAAAGAGAGACGGAACCGGAGAAAGAAGAGGAAGCAAAAGGAGCTCTCTGAAGGAGAGGAGAAAGGGGATCCTGAGAAGGTGTTCAAGTCAGAATCAGAAGATGGTATGAGGAGGAAGGGCTTTCGGCTCCCAGACAACAGAATAGGGAGGAAGTTTTCCATCATGAATCAGGTAAGCTGTTTGTGCTGGGTCACAGAAGCCTAAGAGATTCTAGGTTTCCTAATCTTACTTGATTCTCGTATTCCCCTTCAGGTTTACATTTTCCAGTCCCATCCCTGCATCCTCAGGCCACCTCCACACTCCACTTTTTTTCCTCTAGGAAGAAGTGCTACTTGTGTATAAAGGCTGCCTGTGCTCTAGTCCCACCCTCCCTTCTCTGCTCAAAATCTCACCCAGGACAACCTGGTCACCTTTGGCAGACTTACTGCAGCAAGAAAGTCTGTGTCACTCCAGCAGGCCTTGTATTCTAAAAGACAGGTCCCCAACCTCCAGGACCTAATCCCTGATGATCTGAGGTGGAGTTGATGTGATAACAGTAGAAATAAAGTACACAATAAATGTAAAATGCTTGAATCATCCTGAAACCCACCCCACCCCAATCTGTGAAAAATTGTTTTGCATGAAACTGGTCCCTGGTGCCAAAAAGGTTGGAGACCACTGCTCTAAAACATCATGAAGAACTTTTAGCATCTGAACTTCAGAATTTAGATCAAATACCTTTGTTTAAGAGTTGTATGTAATTTTAGGTTAAAAAAAAAAAGTCATGAAACTCTTTAGGTCACCTTATTTGAGTGTGGCAAGTTCTGGTAATTAATTATTCTAGATTTATAATGTCATGCTGATAAATTAGCCTATGGTAGATTAAAAGCCTCTAGTTTTACCCAACTTTGCTAAATTGGGAAGCTAAGAGAGAGAGAAGGGAGAGGACTTATGGATAATTATTGAGCATTGTATTACTGTACATTTCACGATATAATAGATACTTTGGGACTTCAGGGAACACCACCAAAATCCAATTCTTAAGCTACTTAATGCCCCATTTTAAAGGAAGTCTGTAAAGTATAGAATAGATTGCAGTTCCTGATTACGGCAGTGCAGCCAGAGTCTTTTCTCGTTTCCCAGAGATGATTCATGGTGCCTCTCCCTTACCTCCCTCCCCTCCCAGTTCAGTCCTTTGCTCATCCAGTTGGCTTTATCACAGCAAAATCTCTCATGTCCACCCTCTTCTTTTTCCTATTAATCCTCCTTTAGTTCAGACCTTATGTCTCTTTGTCCTACTGCAGTTATCCAGGACAGCTTTGTTCCCTCTGGTCTGTCTCTCTCTCTTTCACGTTTTGTGTATTGTCATCCAATCACTTCGTAAAACATATCTTGGTTATTCATTACCAGGCATTTATAGAGTGCCTACCATGGGTCAAGGATTATGCTAGGTCCTAGAGATTGAAAGGTGGTTAGAACACCATGTCTGCCCTAGGGAGCTTACAGTATAGTGGGGTAGCCAGATACACTAAAAAAAATTATTTTCGTGATAGCATTGATGGTATTGTTCCATAGTTGAAATACACAGAGGTGTTTTAGAAGGCACAGGTCTATCCCAGCCTGGAGCTTCAGCAAAGATTTTCTGGGGAAGGTCAATAAAGGATCAACAGGGGTTAGTCAGGTAATGAGCCTCTGTGTTGGTGAGGAGCAAGAAGACAGAAGAAAGAATATTCCAGGTTTGGAAGAAAAGTATGTTCCAGTTTGGGCATCCCAAATATGAATTATTTGTTGGGAAACCAGTTTAGACACATGGATAGTCAAATGATAGCTCAGGGAAGAGGTCCTGAGCTAAGAGATAGTGGTTGAAACCAAGAGACTGGCTGAGACGATGTGGAGAGATTGTGTCAGGCAAAAGGACAGTGACATGCAACATGACAATGATGCTCATGGGCTTCGGAGATGGACCTCATGGAGGAAAACAAGTTGGTCATGAGGGCTGCTGAGAGACCCAAGAGTGCAGTGAAGGCTGGAGAGTGCAAGGGTGGGAGAGGGAGGGGAGCGGTCAGTGGATTGAAGCTTAACAGAGATGCATCATGAGATCAGAACTGGAAATGTCTGTTGGATTGGCAGTAGAAGTCCTTGAGAACTTGAAAGACAGATTTCAGTCCAGGGTTAAGGGTGGATGTCATATTGAATAGGAAGAGACTTCCCATTCAAACTTTTTTAAAGAATGTGGGTGAAAATAAGCATTTTTATAATCTGTTATGGGGGGGAGACCCAGAAGAAGGGGAGATGGAAGTAGAAAATGGAGTAGAGTAGAATAGAAAAGAAAATAGAACAGTCTTGGGAGATGTGAGAATAGGTGTTGTCTTGAATAGGAAGGGGGCACCTTGTCCTCGCCCCCACCAAAAAAAAAACACATAGGGCAATAGGGTGTGTGTGTGTATGTGTGTGTGTGTGTGTGGATAAGTTTGTAGATGGGGAGCAGGAAATGGACAAAGATGACCCCCGACAGTCTCATTTTCAATAATATAGGAAATTTAAAATTTTATTGAAGGGAATGAGGGGTTGAAGAAAATAGTGACAGCTTAAAACAGTTATTAAGAAGATTGGGAGAGGGAATTTCCCCTAATCAGGTTCTTCTGTTTACTAAAGAAATCCCAACCCTTCAGCACTGAAGTCACAGCACCCTGCTTCCCGGGGCTCAGCTTCCCTTTTATGGTCTCCAGTCCCTGTGCCCTGTCGAGCACCCTGTACTTACACCAGGGAGAGCTATTAGATGCTTCTCATACATGATGCTTCTTTTCTACCCTCTATTTTGCTCCAGAAACAGCCTCTCTAAGAAGCCCCGCTTTTTCCATTTCTGAATGTCCACATTATACTTATTCTTCACATTCTTCTCCCAAGAGACCTTCCCTGACCCTCCCCATCCTACCCCCAGTTAGAAATGATCATTTCATCTTTCCGTCATGTTTTATATGTCCCTCTTTGTGTGTTGCTTTTTACTGTCTGTGGTTTTATATTTCCTAATCTTCATATCCTGTCCTCTCTCACATAAAGTCCTAAAATTAAGGCCTACTTCTGTGTACATTCAGAGATTTGTTGGAAAAATGAATGAAGTACTTTTGTAAAACTGATTTAACTCCTTCTGGAACTTCTTTATGGCCTGGAACCATCTCTGTCTCACTTTCACCTCACCTTTCTCCTAGTGTAGCCTCTTTTGAGGGAAAGTGTGATTGTAGCTTTGTTGTAATCCAACCCTTGCCTTGAAAGCCATCCTAAGCTTGTTAATAAATACCTTAGTGCCGTTAACACTTCGCTATTGAATGAGCTCTGATTAATCTATAGGCTTCAGCACAGAGTTGCACTGATTGCTCCTTAGCTCAAAAGATAAAACTGGGCTTCTGAGATGTCCTGCTTTGCATGAAAATGGTCACTTCTCATTTCCCCATCGGAAAAAACTGTGGATTCCTTGAGGCCATGGTTGACTGCCAAGACTTCCTTAGAAACTGCAAGGTAGTGATATTCTTTGTCCTAGGACTCACCTGCAGTTTCTCTGATTTTATCTGGAAGAATGGTTGAGGAAACTGAGGCCTAGAGAGAGTAACTCTTTTATCTAAGGTTATATAGCTAGTAGGAGTTGGAGTCAAGATTTGAACCAGGTTCTTCTGACCATAAGCCTTGTACTACAGTCTCTAGCCATCCCCTCCCCACTCACCTCCACACATACATGGTCATCTGTTGGGTTGGCTTAACACTGAAGGTGACTTTGGTTTTCCCACCGCACAGTTCAAGTGAACATCAGTGACCTGTACTGTAGATCCGCTGAGAGCTACTTTTTTAAAAAATTAATTTTGCTGGAGTACAGTTGATTTCCAGTGTTAGTTTGAGATCCTCTTGAGACATAAAATTATTGCTGTGTTTTTAGATTTTAGGTGAGTTTATAAAGTCCCTTTTTGCAAAGTATTTTAATTGTTCTACTGCAGCAGTTTTCAGACATTTTGGTCTTCATATCTTTAAAAATTATTGAGGACCCCAAAGAGATTTTTTAATTTATTGTATTAGAAATAATAATTAAGAAATTTTATAATGTTCATTTACTGATTTATTGAAAAAATGGTAATGATAAACCTACTATGTTTAACACAAATCATATATATTTTTGAAAAAATTAACTGTTTTCCAGATCAAAAAAATTTAATAGAAAAAAATAGTACTGTTTACATCTTTGCAAATCTCTTTAATCTGTGGTTTAATGGGAGATGGCTGGAATAGCATACCTTCATTCAGTCTCTTGCAATATTCCTTTTGGTTGAAGTATTTAAAGAAAATCTGTTTTCATACAGATATAGTTGGAAAAGGGAGGAATATTTTAACAACCTTTTCAGATAATTGCAAATATTCTTCTTTGATGCTATTCCACAATTGAATAATAGTAGGTTTTTAAATGGTTAGTTCCAATGTGGAAGCTGAAACTGTATCAGTAACTTGGTACTGTTACATTAAAATCCTTTGTTATATTTTATGCCATAGATATTTAATTCTTGAATGATTTGTAGGATCCTGCATTGATCATTTGGGAAATACTGCTTCACTGAGTTATGCAGCTCTTCCAAGTACTAACACAGAATATTAAAAAATCACATACATTCTCACTCAAGCTCATAAGAAAAGTCTTTAAATTCTGGGAAACTGTCAGGCTTGCAGTCTGTACCTCTGAGAAATGAGAGTGATAAAGGCAGACATCTTCTTAATATTATTATGCAGTGGTTTAATCTTGTGACCCACCCCCCGTAAGAAGGGCACAAGGACCTAGGAGTTCCCAGACCACATTTTAAGAACCACTGTTGTATTGGAAAGAAAAAGTAAAGAAAAAATGAACTATGGCATGGAAATAGGACATTTAAATCATCAATTTCTTACATTCCAAACATCCTAGTCATTGTTGAGCTTCATTCCAATAGACAGCTGACATGGAGGCCCTGAAATTCCCAGTTAATTTTTCTGTATAATCTGAGGCCATGCCCTCAAATCAAGAACATCCCAGAGCTGTTCTCCCAAGCAGACACCTAGATCTAAAGTAGTATTTTTAGTTACCTGTGATGTGACTGCCTGAAAAGGACCAGAAACTTCCTGGTTTGTTGATAGGAAAGATTTTGAAAACAGGACCCATCTCATTAACTAGCTGAATC